CCAGCCAGACCTTCACCATCCAGACCTCCACCATCCAGACCTCCACCTACCAGACCTGCACCAGCCAGACCTGCACCAGCCAAAGCGCCGACTCTTTACTCGCTCCAGACTCGCCGGAGCCTCGAGGACACATCCGTCAGAGCGGGACATCTGGGCTCCAGCTGCCACGTTAATTATTTAACGTTCAGCTCAGAATGTGACTTAAAGTGACGGTACAAGCTTCTCTGTGACCCCGTAGAGATGTGGATGTGGTCTCAGGACCAACTACATACGCAAAACGCTCACACGCCATCGTTCCTCGTTCATCGTGTGTGAACCATCTCATCAATGTCACTTTGTCAAATGCATCCGTCTGATACAATATTACATTTCAGGAGACAAGGACTCTTCTGTCCTCCCCATTATTTTCTTCCTGGCTTCTGCGTGAGGTCTGCGTGAGGAGGAGGAGGAGGAGGAGCAGGAGGAGGAGGAGGAGCAGGAGGAGTAGGAGCAAGAGGAGGAGCAGAAGAAGGAGGAGGAGCAGGAGCAGGAGCAGGAGGAGGAGGAGCAGGAGGAGGAGCAGGAGCAGGAGGAGGAGCAGGAAGAGGAGGAGGAGCAGGAGGAGAAGGAGCAGGAGGAGGAGCAGGAGCAGGAGCAGGAGCAGGAGCAGGTGAAAGGCAGCTGCTTTGACAGCAACCAAAAGGAGACATGAGGAAGATGGAATGAGGATGGAATGGCCCTCGTCTTCATCACATGTCATGTGACTCTGAGGATGTAGGAGGCGCAGAGAGCTGAGAGGACCAAATGAGGAGAAATCTCTCCTTCACGCTCGCCATCCGACGCATTATTGTCTTCCTGGATTGACTTCAACCGCTGGGGCAAATCCTCGACAAACCGTACATGAATAAGTCCTCTTCCCTTTGCTTCTGTTTATGCAAATGAGCCCCCCCCCCCCGCCAAACGCCTCTTTGGCTCCGCCCATGCAAATGCGGGCCAAGGACCCTTTACAAAGGAGATACTGTGAGAGAGGGAGAGGATGTACAAGAAAGTGATTGAAGGAATAAACCAGTAGCAGCGCTGCATGCAGGACAACACTGCTGAATATCGATGCATCGTGACACTGATGATGATGATGATGGTGGAGGAGGATGAAGAAACGAGGGTTCACGGCGTCTGTGTTGAAAAAAGCAAAAACAAAGAGGAAGAAGAGCCAGCGACGCCCCCCCCCCCCCCCCCCCCCCCAGCTGCTCACAGCTAACAGGCTTAAATGGGTTCTGTGACGATGTGTTCAGGAGCGTCGGACAGCAGAACCACTCATGTTACTACCATGTTGTCATGAAGTATTTTATGTCTTAAATGTGAACATCAGCAGGTTTAAGTTCAGAACACAAAAGGAGGGATTAGTTCTTTTCTTTGCTCATATGTTTGCGTGAACTTATAAAATGATATATTTATTGAACAAATACTCTTTATTTACAGTAAATATAGTTTATGGTTCAAATTATTGTGTGTTGTTTTCTATGAAATTTGTTTGCCGTTTGTTTCCACTTCATTTCCGTTTTTTGCCTCGGAGGTTTACAGGGGGAACGTGCACTAACACACAGACACACACAGACACACGCAATATAAACCCTCAGGATCTCAACTCAGCCAGCAGGGGTCAGAGGTCAACAGGAAATGGACAGGAAGTGGACCTTGGAGGACTGTGCTGGTGTGTGACCGGTACAACTGGAGCAGAAGAAGATCTCCCCTCTGGACAGCACTTCCCTTCATCAAACACACACGCACACACACACACACGCACACACACACACACGCACACGCACACACCCACAGCAGCAACATAGTTGCCGGAGTGACGTGACGTGACGTGATGTGATGGCGGCCTTTCTGCCTGCCGTTTGCAGTCCGTCACAGACTTTCTCATCCTCAGCTTTCCCTCCCAGGTTTTGGCACAAAAACTCACACACACTGACGCACACACACACATACACACACACACACATACACGCACACACACACACACATAAAACAAGCTGAACCCGTCCAGTGCTTCGAGGTCCTGGATGAAGTTCAGACTTCTTCTTTGTTTGTTTGTCATCACTCATCGTGTGTGTGTGTGTGTGTGTGTGTGTGTGTGTGTGTGTGTGTGTGTGTGTGCAGTGTTCACTGCCACGGCTTTACACACATCATGAGTGATGCTTTGGGTGTGTGTAACTCATGTGTGCGCTCCGCATTAGAAGCAGCCTCAGCGTCACTGACCCGTGTTCGCCTCGCTGTGTTTTTATCTCTGCTTGTGTGACCCGAATTGTAAATACAGCATCCTTCACTAAGCTGTGTGTTTTAACTGTGTGTGTGTGTGTGTGTGTGTGTGTGTGTGTGTGTGTGTGTGTGTGTGTGTGTGTGCGATGAATTATGAGCAGCAGCCTCAGCTCGACCCGATCTTTGTTTGGCTGTGTGACTTGTATCTTGCATATCAATGGGTGAGTTATCAGTAGAACCTGTGAGTGTGTGCGTGTGTGTGTGTGTGTGTGTCTGTGTGTGAGCCAGAGGTTAATTGAGGCGAGGGCCTGTAAGCCGTTACCCGGGGTAACGCTTCCCATCCCTTCTCTCATTGGCTATTCAGCACCGTGCGCCCAGCAAACACACTAACGCCGTGTCGCTTCCGAGCTCCAGGCCAGAGGGGGTCGCGCCGGGTCGCGTACCCGCCGCCGGAAGTTCATCGCTGGGCCGTCGGGGCGGCGAGGCCCCCTGATCCAGACCCGCTGGGGCTCAGACAAGGAGCTAATCCTTACAGCACACAGGAGAGGATTACCCGCACACACACAGACACACACACCTCCTGCTGCTCCTCTCTGCCTCTTCTCCTTCATCTCCTCCTCCAACTACTCCTTCTAGACTGCTCGTCCTGCTCCTGCTGCTCTCCTCCTCGCCGTTATGCTTCTCAACCTCCCTGGTTCCGATGTCCTCACCTCCTCCTCTACTGCGCCGCTCCTCCTGAGTCCTTCACACCACTCAGGACGAGGAAGGACGGAGGTGATCTAGTGAAGCGAGGATGAGGAGGACACGAGGTCAAAACATCAGAGGAGGAGGTCCTCTCCTCCTCCTCCTCCTCCTCCTCTTCTTCCTCCTCCTTCTCCTTCTCCCTCACAACCTGTGTGTGTGTGTACATATATATATGTGTGTGTGTGCGTGTGTGTGTGTGTGTGTGGGTTCAGGACTCGCCAGCAGCCGAGCAGAAAGCTTTAATGAGAAGTCGCTGTTTACTGAGGACAGAGTGGGACCCACACACACAACACACACACACTCATATAGACTCACAAAGACACACACAGCACTGTGTACAAACACACACTGCGACACACTCCCACTCATAAAGACACACACACACCAACCAGTGCAGTAATTTGGAAGGTTTTCTTTGTAAAGCAGTCTGTCCTCTGTCTCCTCATTAAGGAGGACAGACCAGACACACAGACACACACACACTCACAGACACACACACGCACACACTGCTGACTCCACAGTGCAGCAGACTTCTGCTCTCACTAACTATTTGGCTCTGTACCTTTTTTGTTTATTTCTGTGTGTGTGTGTTTTTATGTTTTTGTGTAGGTGTGTGTGTGTGTGTTTTTATGTTTTTGTGTAGGTGTGTGCGTGTGTGTGTTTTTATGTTTTTGTGTAGGTGTGTGCGTGTGTGTGTTTCTGTGAAGCAAAAGAACACAAACGTCCGTTGATCCAAACGTGCCTCCAGGAAGTGATGTCACAGCTCGTGGCTCTGATCTGATTGGCTGTCAGGTGGAGCTGACAGCAGCCCAGTGAAGGACACACACGAGGCTGCAGATGATGACGACACATTAGTGTGCGACTGACACATTAAGGAGGGGGGGGATTTGCCTGCTGACTGTCCTCGTGTCTCTTTCCTATTTAATAAATCAAATGATGGAAGTTTTAGTGAAGTTATAGAACTATATTGATTTATTTCATGACCCACATACACACACACACACGCACACGCACCCACACACACACACACACACACAACGCTGGATGCAGGTGTCACTTGACTCGTAACACACTGTGTTTCAGCCTTCTGAACCGACGAGCAGCACACAAACACAAGCAACAACACACACACACACACACAAACAACACACACACACACACACAGACACACACACTTTAATGAACAGGAAGAAGGATGATTGCTCGCTCTTCACCTGCTCCTGCATGTACAGACATGAATGTGCTCCTGTGTCGTGGTCCCCCCACACACACACGCACACATGCACACGCACACGCACACACACACACACACACACACGCACACACACACACACACACCGCCCCCCCCCACCGTCCAGAGAGTTGGATGGTGATTAGCGTTGGGATTCTGGGACTCTGGCCTCAGTTTTCATTAACAGCCATGAACACAGTTGTGCTGCACCACTGAGACCCACCGCAGGCTCTCAGAGTGTGTGTCTGTGTGTGTGTGTGTGTGTGTGTGTGTGTGTGTGTGTGTGTGTGTGAGAGTGTGTTTGTCTACATCTGTGCAATCTTTGATGACCCGGGTGGAGAGAGAGAGAGAGAGAGGTGTTGTTTATCATGGTAGTAATTAAGCCCACAGTTCGGCTTTAATTAAAACATAACAGCAGCACTAAGTATGTACTGGTTCTCTCTCCCTCTCACACAGACACACACACACACATCTTTAGCTCTCTATTTAGCACGGGAAAAACGACCACAACTTGAAACCCTGTCAGCTCAGACACAGAGTGAATGCACACACACAAACACACACACAAATACACTAAATTACTAAATCCATGTTTATCCTCATTCCTTTTACTTTGTTTCGTAGATCGCTGTGTGTCTCTCTGGGTTTGGATGACGATAGACAGCACAAGGTCAGTTGTGTTGTTTCAATGTGTGTAACCAACGACATCAGCGTCACATCCGTCCCCGAGACCATTTCACACACAGAACACAAAGTGAAAAACCCCACAAACTAAACGGCCATCTTTGTTTTTGTATCAGCACTTGTTTATTGTATTGAAACCCTCTGAATACAAAGTACATTCACAGGTGCAGCGTGGGCGACTCGCTCAGCGGCTTCTGTTCCGACTCCTACAGCAAACACACCTCGTTACAACTTCACAGCCACAAACATCCCGTCCACAATAAACACACTGTGGCACCGACATACAGTCTGGGCCCGTCTGTTGCTAAGCTAACCTCACGCTAACCTCCCAGACGAGTCCCACGCGGGTTTATACATGGGTTATATGAAGCAGCCGCTAGTTTGGTCGCTAGTTGGCTAGCTAGCCCGACAGAGTGTGATGGATGGAGCTTCAAATCCATCCTGCTAAATCAATAATAAATGATAAACCAGGAAAATTATGAATAACTCATAATTCATTATTTTTCAAAAAACGAACAACCAAACTCCATGTGGGTGGGACACAAATAAGAGCGTGAAAATAAATGAGATGCCGTTCATACCGCTGACTATGAACTGAGCTTCCATGACAAGTGAATATCGTGTCATGTGATGTAAGCTAACTGATTCCAGTCTTTGAGCTAACTGCGCTAAACACAGGGATGCAAACAGCTTTCCGCCGCTTCCTGCTTTTTTCACGACAGTTTGGTGACTTGTGTGAATCGTGCAGGTCTGAAGGGTTTTTTTAAGGGGGGGGGTCTGATTGTAATTCAATCAACAGTAATTTGCGCAGCAACAGCTGACCAGCAATTAACCCCGGCTCACAAGCGTCCAACAATCCCCGCCTCACATCCAAATTCTTATGAAAGAAATTAAAAATCGGATTTCAACCTCCCCGTCGGCGCCTCGCCTCGACCCCCCCACGTCCGCCGTAGCGTCCTCATCAAGTACAGGGATATTTGCCGCGGGGCGAGGCCTTCGATTCCCTCGCTCTTTATTAACCCTCCATGTGTTTGCATCGCTGTAAACAGACACGACTCCAGGAGACAAACGACAGCCTGACAGTTTATAGCTGTGTTTCTATTGGCCGCTGAGAGGAGGCGGAGCTGGCTGATTACCCATCGTTAACCTCGACCTCTGAACCCTACAGGCCACCACAAGAAAAGTCAGAAAAGGGATAAAACGGGACTGAATGTACCGTTTCTGCAACCCCCCCCAAAAAAAGACCTAATAATCCAGAATCCACGAAAGCTTCAGTTAATCCACACAAAAAACGTTCATATCCAGCAGCCGACAAGGCGACTTCCAGCAGAAGTCCTCGTTACTCTGCACATTGCAACAAAACCTTCTTCTTTCATCAGGGATCTTTTCCTTTTTTTCTTATTCGATTCTCTTCGACGGGGGAAAAGAAAAGTGCAACATGGAGCAAAAAAGAAGGTTTGAGGACCACGGGCGAGGAGGGAGGAGCAATCCTCAGAAGTGCAGCAGAGAGGAGGAGAAGAAGGCAAAAAGCTGGAGGAGTCAATGTGTTTCTTTATGTAAATTGGAGGCGAGAGAGAAGAAAGAAGCTCTAGATGCTCTGTGTGTCTTTAGTTTTGTCTTAAGTCGGCCTTTTTAGTCCCGCCCCTCTCTCCGGTTCGCCGCTGGACGCCGCTCCACCTACAGGAGGATAGATACCAACGTCTTACACCTCAGGAAGCAACGCAGCGCACAAAAATCACATTCCATGCAAAACGGGAAAAAACAAAAAGGGAAAAATTTAATTAATTAATTTTAAAAAAGCTGGAAGAAAAAAAAAAAGATGCTGGAAGAAAGGAGTCAAAAAAGATGTAGCAGCAGTTTGCAGAGCCACAATAACGCAAAATCAGATTCAAGACAATTGGCAACGAATTGCACTACTCAGACGTGGTGAATTTCAATCAACACAAGGTAAATAAATGTACCAACAGGATCAGTGGCGTCATTTAAGAACACAAAGATGATCAATAAACTAATATTAAAGCTTTAATCGAGAGAAGTGTGTGTTCCTTCATTGGAATCACTCAACGCTTTTATAGATATTAAACTCAAAGTCTCGCTGCGTTCAGCTGTGAGCCAGAAGGTCTACGTCAGTGAGTCAGGTGACCTCGAGTGGTTCCACTCCAGCTCCTCTGCTCTCGTCTACTTTCAGCTCTCATTTGCATTTTGAGAATATTTGCGAGTTTGTTTGCATGTTGATGCTCGTTGGTCAAACTACTGCTGGAGGCTGCAGGTGTCCCAGTTCACCCAGTATCACCCAGTGGTACTACTGAGTACCATGTGGTACTCTACGGTATTATTATTATATTAATCATATGTACTAATCAATTAGAATCTAGTAGTACCAGTAGTACTAGAAATACTTTTATTGGCTACAGGATGTGCACACACTTAGTTGTATTTAGTTCATGTGAGAGCCGGAGGGATTACGTCTAATCCGCTCCTCCTTGCCTACTCTTCCCTCTCTCCTATCCTCTCCTCATCCTCCTCCTCCCCCCCTCCCTCCTCCTCCCCTCTCCTCCTCCTCCCTCCTCCTCCCTCTCCTCCTCCTCCCTCCTCCTCCCTCCCACCACGACAGCATCGGTTGGAAAGGAAATATACAGTCGGTTGTTTAGCGCCTCCTCCTCACTACCTGCTCCAGAGGTTACCCCCCCACCAGGCGCGTTTGTTACACATCACCGGCGCCTCCTGCCCCCCCTGACACCCCCACCCCCCCTCCAGATGTCATTGATCCTGTAAGTGGGTCACGGCGGTGAGGTGACACGAGGCTTTGAGGCAGTGACTCTAGCGTGAGTTAATAAGTGTGTGTGGGGGTCTAACAGATGCTGGAGGTGCAGAGGGTGAAGATCTTTGTCCCAACGTGGACCCCCCCCTGCCCCCCCCCCAAGAGGACCCACTGCTTCAGAGGAAGGCAAGCGAAGCTCCTGACCTCATTTATTTTATAACTAACACAAAGAACTTTCCCTTCTCCTGGACGAGTAACAATATGAGGTTCTAAGTATCCGAGGTTACAATATAAGGTTCTCTAGTCTACACCATTACAATATAAGGTTCTCCAGTCTATACCATTACAATATAAGGTTCTCTAGTCTACACCATTACAATATAAGGTTCTCCAGTCTATACCATTACAATATAAGGTTCTCCAGTCTACCAGAAGGTGAGCCAGAAGGTCTACGTCAGTGAGTCAGGTGACCTCGAGTGGTTCCACTCCTCTGCTCTCGTCTACTTTCAGCTCTCACCATTACAATATAAGGTTCTCCAGTTTATACCATAACAATATAAGGTTCTCCAGTCTACACCATTACAATATAAGGTTCTCCAGTCTATACCATAACAATATAAGGTTCTCCAGTCTACACCATTACAATATAAGGTTCTCCAGTCTATACCATTACAATATAAGGTTCTCCAGTCTATACCATTACAATATAAGGTTCTCCAGTCTATACCATTACAATATAAGGTTCTCCAGTCTACACCATTACAATATAAGGTTCTCCAGTCTATACCATTACAATATAAGGTTCTCCAGTCTATACCATTACAATATAAGGTTCTCCAGTCTATACCATTACAATATAAGGTTCTCCAGTCTATACCATAACAATATAAGGTTCTACAGTCTACACCATTACAATATAAGGTTCTCCAGTCTACACCATAACAATATAAGGTTCTCCAGTCTATACCATTACAATATAAGGTTCTCCAGTCTACACCATTACAATATAAGGTTCTCCAGTTTATACCATAACAATATAAGGTTCTCCAGTCTACACCATTACAATATAAGGTTCTCCAGTCTATACCATAACAATATAAGGTTCTCCAGTCTACACCATTACAATATAAGGTTCTCCAGTCTATACCATTACAATATAAGGTTCTCCAGTCTATACCATTACAATATAAGGTTCTCCAGTCTATACCATTACAATATAAGGTTCTCCAGTCTACACCATTACAATATAAGGTTCTCCAGTCTATACCATTACAATATAAGGTTCTCCAGTCTATACCATTACAATATAAGGTTCTCCAGTCTATACCATTACAATATAAGGTTCTCCAGTCTATACCATAACAATATAAGGTTCTACAGTCTACACCATTACAATATAAGGTTCTCCAGTCTACACCATAACAATATAAGGTTCTCCAGTCTATACCATTACAATATAAGGTTCTCCAGTCTATACCATTACAATATAAGGTTCTCCAGTCTACACCATTACAATATAAGGTTCTCCAGTCTATACCATTACAATATAAGGTTCTCCAGACTACACCATAACAATATAAGGTTCTCCAGTCTACACCATTACAATATAAGGTTCTCCAGTCTATACCATTACAATATAAGGTTCTCCAGTCTACACCATAACAATATAAGGTTCTCCAGTCTACACCATTACAATATAAGGTTCTCCAGTCTACACCATAACAATATAAGGTTCTCCAGTCCATACCATTACAATATAAGGTTCTCCAGTCTACACCATAACAATATAAGGTTCTCCAGTCCATACCATTACAATATAAGGTATCCGGTCTACACCATTACAATATAAGGTTCTCCAGTCTATACCATAACAATATATGGTTCAATATAAGGAGCAATTAGCGGTTAGGTGTCTTGCTCAGGGACACTTCAGCATGGGACATGGGGCAGCCGGGGCTCAAACCACCAACCTTGCAGTTCCCAGTGCACCCTCTCTACTCCTGCGCCATCACGACCCCTCTATCTGCTGCAGACGTGGAAAATGGTCCGGGGCCAAAATGGAAATGGCTAAAGAGTGAACATTGAGTTTGGAATATTTCACCACGGATACGTGAAGCGTAATACGACCAGAGGAAGGAGATTTTGATTGAATCCGACAGGAAGGTGGAGGCGGGTTCACACCCAGCAGGAGAAAGGACTTCAGCTTCTACTGTCGCTGCCTCCTGCCGTCAGATCCTCCAGCAGAAAATAGGGTGAAAGATGGATGATTTCTTTTTATTATATAAACAGGCTGTTGGTTGACCCTGAGGAGGAACCAGTTCCTCAGACGTTTAAACCTACAAACACCTCCTTTTCTTTTCCACCCGACAGAGATATTTAACAGCCAAGCAGCACTCTAATAAATCCTGCGACCATGATGTATTCGCTCGCCCCTCAAGGACAACTCACAATCATTAATATCTCCCCTCCCGGCTGCTCTGTATGCTCCACAGGCTTTGTTGTGCCTTCCTCTGTGTTTCACTTTGCAGATCAAGACAAAGTTTCCCAGTCCCGGCAGGAAGAGGTCGGAGGTCGCGGGGTTTCAGTGACGAGCCCTGCCGATGGCTGACATCCGGTCCGGAGGGGAAGCCATATGTACGTGCTTCTCTCTGGAGGTCGACTCTGTGTAGGCGTATATGTTTCCTTCCGCTCGCCGCTGCACAAACAGTAAACAACTGACGCCTCGGCCAGTTTCCCAACTACGAAGTGGAAAGATTCATGGCTTCTTTAGGTTTTGTTGGTGAATCACTGAAGAAGATTATCTAGTCCATCTATCAAATGTAAGGCTGCAATCAGCGCCCCGTTAGCTTAGCTTAGCAACAACTAGATGCCGAGGGAGTAAATCTCCAAACTCCACAGTGAGCCTGAGGATGACATAACAATAAAGGAAAGTACAGCGAGGCCGAAGCAGGGAAATAAACCTGCTGCTTTCCAGCACGACAAGAGTCCTCAATATTCTGACCGTCCGTGAAAAGACATCCAGCCAAGCGGAGCAGCAGAGCCGAGACAAACTCACCAAGAACCGTTGTTGAGTTTGTACTCCATGGACACAAGGAGAGGTGGGAGGCATCTGCCTGTCTCAGTGAGGAGGACAAGTGGACTTCATTCCATTCCCAGAATCGTCTTTGTCTCAGACACACGCCCCAAAAAACCCAAAAGCTTTTAGAAGGTAGAAAATGTCCGTTTGATGGAGAAGGTGAAGCCGAGGTAGACGAGGAGAAGTGGACCGGGGACCGTGGGTCACCTCCAGGGCCCAACGCAGAAACCAGTGGTCCTTCAGAACACTGCACAGTGGAAAGGGGACTTTGTTTTGTGCAGAACATCCCACAAGTCCACGACATTAACTTGTGAGTGAAATGATTAAACGTTACCGAGCGGCACATCGTCCTTCCTCTTCATCGAGACAATAGAGACAACCTGCTTTAAATACGCTCAGTTTGAAGGGTCCTTAAATAGGGAGCGAGTACTAAAGGAGATGTGAGGGCTCCTGGTACTTCTACTCTTCTACACCATGTTCTACCATCAGCACATCACAGGCTTGCAGGAAGAGAGACGCTTTGAAAAGGGATGAAAGACGTTGGATTCATCTTGGTTTGTCTTTTTAGACACGTGATTGTGTGGTTTCGTTCCTTATTGGACCTGAAATTGTGTTGATTTTGTGCCACCCTGAATTGTCTTAATGTTAGACCCAATCAACTGTTTGTGGATAGGATTATTAGGTCGTCGTGGCGCAGGGGTTAGATAAGGTGTGCTGGGAAGCACAAGGTTGGTGGTTTGATTCCAGGCTGCCCCATGTTCCATGTCGAGGTGTCCTAGAGCAAGACACCTGACCCCTAATTGCTCCCCGGGCAAAAATGTGAAAAAAGCCTCAGGTTTA